CGAGGAGCCATTGGGAGTAGAGCAAAGTGGAGGTGGGGAAAAGGTGGAGGCAGATAAGGAAGTTGAGAAACCATTGGGAGTTGAAAGCAAGGGAGTTGAGGGATCATCGAGGGCAGAGAAGGAAAGAGGTGAGGAAAAGCTTGGGGCAGAAGAGAAAGATGAGCAACCATTGAGACTAGAGAAGAAAGACGACCAAAAGCTAGAGGCGATTGAAGAACTATTGGTGACAGAGAGGGAGGAAGGTGGCGTGTCAGTAACAGAGAGAACAGGAGGCGAGGAGCCATTGGAAGCAGAGAAAAAAGATGAGGGATCACCGAAGGCAGAGAGAACAGGAGATGAGCCACTGGGGGCCGAGAAGACCCAAGGGGTCACGGAAGATGTGAGTCCAGAAGAGCTGAGAGAGTCAGGAGGGAAGGAATGCCAGGAGGAGGAGGTAAGTGAGGGAGGGGCTCCTCTGGGGGCCAAGGAAGAGCCAAGGCCAGAGGAGGAAGGACCACAGCCCCAGGAGAAACAGGAAGGCTCCGTGGAGGAGGAAACAGTGGAGCCCCAGCCCCCTGTTGAGGGCCAGGACCTCTCAAGGGATGCCACCCCCCTCCTGGCAGAGATCCCAGCTCCTGAGCAGCCTGCCGAGTGCCAGCCACTGCTTCCAGTGGAGGGGCCCAGGGCCAACCCCAGTGTGCACCCCGTGCCCACCTATGCACCTGCCCAGCAGCCCGAGCCATCTGGTCCTCCTGAGGGTGAAGAGGCGAGTGGCCCTAAGCAAAAGACGTGCCAGTGTTGTGCGGTGATGTGAGCTCGCGCCCTCCACCCCACACCCCACTCCTCTCACAGCTACCTCGGCCTCTTGGCATCCAGCAGAGGGTCCCAGGCATGGACAGGGCACATGGGACTGGCCGTGGCATCTGGGAGCCAGCTGGCTTACACATCCACCTCCACCTGGGCTTCCAGACCCCTTGCCCACTGCCTGTGACCTTGGCCTCCTTCTCCGACTAAGCCTTTATACTTGAAAATAGAACATTAAAGCATTTGGACTGCTTGCATGTGTGTTTTTGGCACAGAACCCTTACCACCTCCTAATGGGTAATCGAGGGCTTCACTTGGCTAGAATCAAAGATTATAAGTCAGTGAACATATAGGTGCAGCTGCTATAACAAAAGACCTCGAACTACAGTAACTATAAAAATAAGTTTATTTTTCTGGGGTTGGGGGAGAATCCGATCCATGTAGTCACTCAGGGATTCAGGTTCCTTTCCATTTCTTGACTCCACTCTCCCCTTGGGTCTGGCTGAAGCTAGATCACTCGATGTTCCAGCTCACAGGAAAGGGAAGAGAATGTGGAGGTGCCCCAACCAGTCCCAGCTTCGGTACATGTCACCTCTCACGTTCCATTAGGAAGAACTCTGTGCATGGCCACACCTAGCAGCAAGGAAGGCTGGGAGTCCACCTAACTACTATGCTGTTACAGCAGCAGGACAGATTTGGGGAAGCGGCTGCCACTCTGGATTTTGTATATTTTCCTTTGCTCCCTCATCCATCCATATATCCCATATATGGCCAGGCCCTTCTCTGTAGGGGTCCTTCAATCTCAGCTCTTCTTGGCTGGGTGTCCTCAGGCAAGAGGCTTAGTCTTTCTGATCCTCAGTGTCTTCAGCTGTCAAATAAGCACCCTTTTCCTAACCTGAGGTTGGTTCAGGCCAGAAATGGGACCTGCGTGGGGGGCCCAAAAGGCCTAGCTCCTCAGGCGTGGGCAGGAAGTGTTTCTCGTACCCAGAGTCAAGCTGGGAGGAAGCCTGGGGAGGCTCCATAACCGGTAGTGGCTCAATGTCCTCTACTTCCAGGATGGGCAAGTCTCTGGGAGGCTGGGCCTGGGGCACCTCCTGGGAAGAGAGGAAGCTGAGATTCTAGCCTCCAGTCTCCCCAACACTGCTCCCACCTACTCCCCATGGTACCAGTGTCCCCCACCCCCCTGGAGGTTCCTGACAACCCATTCTTGCTCACCTCCATGTGGGGCTGGCTGGAATTGCTGTTGGCAGGATCGGGGACCTTCTCCCAGACCCAGCGGGGCAGTACCTTGTGCCACAGGTGGAGGCACCTGGCAAGTAGGTAAGAGGAAAGGGAATCCAGGTGGCCAGATATCCATGCCCAGGTTGCAGGGTCCAGGAATGTCACAGAGCCGGGGGAATCCCCTCATCCCAGAAGCTCAGCTAATGCCCAGCTGCCCTCCCCACCTGGGCAGAGACCCACGTGTCTGACAGCCTCACCTGCCAGGGGTGGCTAGTCTCACACCACAGCCTATCAGGAGCAGGCCCCACAGGCAAATGACACCTGGCAGGATTTTCAACTTCAAGGTGTTATCTGAGGGAAAGGGACGGAAGAATAGTTGGACACGAGGAGGGTGGGGTCAGGTAAGGCTCACTGGTAGGCGGGGCTTGGGTGAAGGCGGTGGATAAAAGGGCAGGGCTTATGAATGGGTAGGGGCTACAGTGGGGGAAGTCTTGGGGTGGGAGTGGGGCTTATGAATAGAGCTGGAATCGGTGAGAAGTCAAGGGTGGGTGAAAGGGTCAGAGACACACATAGCCTGATAATCCACAGCAGTTTTTAGCAGAATCAAAATACAACATCAATAATCACCCTCCCCAAGTGAAAAAGTTGCCCATTGACTGGAGCTCAGAGAATCATTCCATACACCCTTCGAATGGAGCAGGCCCCCTCCTATGGTATTGTCACCCCAGCCCCCCTACCTGGTAGGTGAAGCCGGAGGCTGGGACCAGGTGGGCCCTGTCCTGCAATGGTGGACGCTGTCATCCATAGCTCACAGGGACCCCAGGGAAGGTTGGGCAGGGTGATATTCTGGGTGTTGCCACTCACTGAAGGACATAACCAGAGAGATTGGGGAGGCAGTCAAGTCCTATCTCAGGGCCTTTGCACGTGCTTTCTCTCCATCTGTGACACTTCCCCAGATATGCACATAGCTCCCTCCTTCAGGACTTCATACAAATGTCACCTTCTCAGGGAGGCCTTCCCTCACTCCATTACATAGAAAAGCGCACCCCCCTTCACCCCCCATCGTGCCTGCTTTATTCTCTATACAGCACTTATCGTCATATGACATACTACTTAGATATTATTTACTTTGTCTGTGTGTGCCTATCCTCCATTAGAAAGTTAGCCCCACGAGGGCTGTATTCCCAGCACCTGGATCAGCCTGGCACATAGAAAGTACTCCAAAATGATATAGATTTGAATTAGCAAAAGAATAAATGAGCATCATATCCCTCACCTGCACAAAACCCAATGTAAGGAAGACTCCCTAGGCCAAGGGAAGACATTTGGACCTTCCAGAATTATTTTTGTTTACTTTTTTACTGAATTACTCTTTTTTGTTTGTTTGTTTTTAAGCCAAAAGAGAAAGTAGCTTTTTGGTTTATTATAGAATTAGAGGAGATATTAATATGGATCAAGATATATTGACAAAGAAAGATGTCCAAGCTAAGTCATCAGGTGAAAAAATGTTGCAAAACATCACAGCCATACAATTCATGGGCCAAACTATAGTCTATAATATGGTCCACTTTTAATAATAATATACACGTATATATAGCTAATATTATATATAATTTTAAGCCTAATGGTCTATATATATGTTTGCGAGGTGCGATCATAGCAAAGTAATTATATTAAAAAGTAGGCTTTATCAATTAGAGACAAATGTGAAACACTGATGTATTTAGGGGTGAAATGACACCAAAGGCTCTAGGAAAAAAAAATTAGAGGATAAACTGAAACAAGATTGGCATCTATGGCCATGCCACCCTGAACGTGCCCGATCTTGTCTGCTCTCGGAAGCTAAGCAGGGTCGGGCCTGATTAGTGCTTGGATGGGAGAGCACCTAGGAAGACCAGGTGCTGTAGGAGTAAAAAAAAATTGGCAAAATGCTGGTAATTGTTGAAGCTGGGTGGTGGACACACAAGGTTATATTCTTACTTTTGTATGTGCTTGATATTTGCTATAATACAAAGTTCAAAATCTTCAAAAACACATGACTCCTATCTATGTTAACATACACATGGAAGAATCTAGAAGCTGTGCTGTCAATATCACTGAGATGATGAAAATGCGGATATTCTTGATGATATATGGTCCTTTAGTGTATCAGCTTTCATAACAAGCAGAGATAATTTTTGTAATTAGAAAAAAAGGGTAATAAAGATTTTTTAAAAGGAATTTGTGCTCAGAGTAAAAATTTAGCCTATACCCAAAGGTATGAAAAAGAAAGAAAAATCATATATAATCCTGCAATCCTGCTGACATCGAGGGGAATTTATTTTCATATTTCTGCCTACACGTTGCTCATTTCTGGGTTTATTTTACAAAAATGGAACCAGCCCATAGAGTTTTGAGTCCTTTTATCTTTTTCATCTAATAAAATATGACAGCCATCTTTCAATGTCAATAAATATAGATTGGAGTGTTCATTTTTAATGGCCAAATGACAGTCCATTACATTGATAGCCGCCAGGGTTATTGTCCACTAGGGAATTGATGACATCAGGTGTTCTCCCTGGGGCTGACAGAGAACCAAAGGGGCCCATCTAAGGATAAGCTGTGAGGTAGACTGATGGGTGGATCTTGTCGGGGCTGGGAGCAGGGGCCAGGAAAGCTCACCGTTCATGCAGACAGAAGGCCTGGTCCCACTCTGGGCACACAAGGTGTAGTGGGTGAGATGGCCCCGAAGTTGGTGCCTTGGGACTACTCCCCACGCTATGGCGGGAGTCCCTGGGGGGGCATCCTGGAGTCGCCAAAGCACTGGCCCTGCCAAAGGTGCTGGGGAGAAAGCCAGTGGGTCAAGGTCTGCCAGGCTTCCGGGACCCGCATTCCTCCAGCATCATAGCTTACCTAGTTCCTCTCTGAACCACCAGACTGAGGGGGCAGAGTACAAGCCCCCAGGAGAGACCGCCGTCACTGTGATTCGGTAGGGGACCCCTCCTTCGAAATTCCCTGGGAAGGGTAGGCGCAAAAACCAGTTAAGAGTTTGCTTTCACTCCCTCATTCATTGCCTGCGTGGTAGGAGCCCTCATTTGGGTCCATAGAAAGACACACTGAAATCAAGATCTGGGTATAAGTCATTTATCTGCGTTCCCAAGTTCTTTACCCCAAGGAAGGACTCTCCAGTGTCAAGCTCCAGTCCAGGACTCATTGCTGGGCTCCAGACCTAAGCATTTGACAGTCTCCTGGGCAACTCCACTTGGATAAGCACCTCAGATGCAAACATATCGAATGGGTCCCCAAAATTCTGCTTCAAGACTCCCCAGTCAGAACCTGCCTGCTTCTCTTTCCTCCTCGTTTCCCGCTTGATCCAGACCTCATCATCTCCCGCCTGAACCAGCACAGTTCCTTCTCTCAGCTCCGCCACCACGTCTCTCCAACACAGCCTGTTTCTCCGCACACAGCAGCCAGAGGGCGCCTGTGAGCATCTGAGTCAGGGCACGTGCCGCCTCTGTTCAGAATCTTTTGTGGCTCCCGTTTCACTCCGACAAAAGCCAGTCACCCCCTCCCCGCCCCCCACTCCCATTGCCCACAAAGCACTGCAAGCTCTGCTCTGTCCCGTCACCTCGCTGCCCTCACCTCTTCCAACTCTCCTCCTCACTCATTCCACTCCAGCTACACTGGCCTCCTTGGAGGCTCTAAGCATCAAGCACATTCTTGCCTCAGGGACTTTGGACTGTGTGTTTCCTCTTGCTTTTTCTTCAGACATCCTCATGGCTCCTTTTCTCACCTCCATTAAGCCTTAGCTCAAATGGCACTTTCCCAGAGAGGCCTTTCTAACCTTTCTTTCTAAAATAGCTACTCTCCCTCCTCACCCTTACCCTGATTTATTTTGCCCCAATTACATTACAGGTGCCCTTGTTTTTGTTTCATTGGCCACCTGCCCCACAACAATGTTGGCTCCATGAGGGCAGGGATGTTGCTGAGGGAGAGTGGAGTGATGGCTCAGGGATTGGCTTTAGGAGCCTGACTGTGTCCTTTAAATCCTGGTTCTATCACCTACTTGCTGTGTGGCCTGGGGCAAGGCCCTGGGCCTTTCTCTTCATCTGTAAATTAAGCATGATAATAGCAGAAACCTATTTTATAAAGAAGTTTCAGTGATTTCATGCTATGGTAAATGCCAATAGATATCAGCTGCTATCATCACTACACTGGCTAGAACAGAGCCTGGCACACAGTGCGTGGTCAATGAATTAATGATACTTTAAGCAAAACACACTCTCCTGAAAACCCACCCATCAGCCTGCTCTCCAACAGCTGGGATGGGAACCCAGGTATACCAGGGCCTCACCTGGCAACAGAGCACTGAGCTTCCCAGGGGGAAGTCGGACCCAGTTGAGGTCCTCCAGGGGGTCGCCATCTTGAGCCCAGTCCACCACATGCTCCTGCGGCTCCCCAGACCCTTGTTGCCAAGTCACCAGCAGCTCTGTGTTCCCAGCAATGCTGCTGACCACCACGCCATGGGGGGCAGAGCCTGGACCTAGAGGGCAGGGAGGAGAAGTCTCAGCTGCCCACTCAAGAGTTCCCCTCCTGAGCACTTCCAGGGCTCTGAGTGGAGGAAGTTCGTAGCCTCTTACCCAAGCAGACCAAAGAAAGGTTGCTGAGAGGATCCCAGCTTGTGGCATTGACAGCAGACACGGCAGCCCACTCCACCTGGGTGGGGATGAAGGAACTACAGCAGGGAGTCTCCTCCAGAATCAGCTCCTGACCTTTAACCTGGAACCAGACTCTATAGCTCAGTTGTACGCAGTGCCCAGGGGCCTGAAGGAGGAGAGGAAAAAGGGGTTAATATCTCCCATTAGTCAGACACCTTCTGTGTGTCTCAGTGAGGTCACTTGACAAACAAGTCGGTGAAATATTTTTGTTGGCTCCACTTTACAGACGAGGAAATTAAGTCTCAGAGGGGCTCAGCAGCAGAGGTGGGATTAGAATACAGTTCCAGGGCCTGGACTAGGGTGAGACAAGTGAGGCACCCACCTTGGCTGAAAAATTTAAGGGGAAAGATGCCAAAAACCCAGTAATCAAGATAAATTATATTTTACTCAATCACACTTAATGCAAAAAAGCCCACAACAAACAAAATATAAAGACTTTAGGTAAAGGCATGATTTCCTGCACATCATGTACAGCCCTGCCTTACATGCCTCACCCTAGTCTATGTCCTGTGTCATTCTTAGGGATTTTGGAATTCCCACTGTTGTATAGAGGAATGGTTACATGTAGCAAAGAGGATGATATCCTCTTTGGGATATTTGGGAAAATCAGTGGGAATTTTTGGTTGCTTTGATGATTGGTATTTGATGGGCAAGAGTCAAGGATATGACATTGTCCTAGAAACAAAAAACTGTCCCATGACCCTTATGATTTTTTAATGTTATCCACACCGAAAACTTTTGAAGATGAAAAACCTGTCTAATAATTTTAATTGATCCTTGAACAAAAAAAAAATGATTTGGGGATCTGATTTTAATATTCACTGAATAATTAAATATTCAGAACATATGAGGACTTTCTAGGCAGTTTTAATTATCAATTCCTAGCACAATCTGCATTTTGATCAGAGAATGTTTTAGTATTCCTTTGAAGTTTCTAAAACCTAGTCTGTGGCCTGGCATGTGGTTGACTTTGGTAAATGTTCTGTTCGTGTGTAGAAAGAATGCATGTACTGATGTTTCTTATATGAGTTCATTAGTCTATTAGGTAGTTTGTTAATCACATGTTCGGATATTCTAGATCTTGACTTGTTTTACATTTGTTTATTATGAAATTATTGAGAGTGGAGTATTAAAACCTCCCACGACAGTTGTGGATTCATATATTTCTCTTTGTAGTTCTGTCAATTTTTGCTTTACATATTTTAAAGCCATGTTATTAGGTACATACAGATTTAATACTCTTAAATCATCCTGGTGAACTGAATTTTTTTGCCATTACATAGAACCATATTTCTCCTTTATTTTCTACTGACTGTTACTATTAGAACATTATATATGTTTAAAGTATGTATATACATGGGCTGTATTATCTAGATATTTCATTTCAGTGTAGTAAAAGGGCATTACAAAGTATGTGTTATGTAACGGAGGCACTGAGGCTGTGAATTGCCATTTGAAAGCCAGTGAATCTCAGCTCTGCCACTTATTAGTTGTGTGGTTCAGGGCAACCTCTCTGTGTCTCATTTTTTCTCATCTGTAAGGTTAGTTTATATAAATAAATGTGTAGGCTAGGACCTGGCACATAGTAAGAGCTCCATAAATGTTGTGTAATGATTAAAATCAATGATGTTAGGTTGTGTGGCCCAAGAAGGTATTGTTTTGTTCCTTGATGAATGTTTCTGTGAGCCAGGGTCTAGCAATTCCTGGAACATAGTAGGTAGTCAACAGATTTGGATTGATGAGTACTGTTACACCCTTTTCTGTCATCTCATAAAGTCCTTTTGATATTAGCATCTGAGCCCTCAGCACGCTGTGCTATATTTTGTGGAGCTGAGTCTAGTCTTGCTTCTAAACCTTTGTACCTGCTGGCTCCTCTGCCTGGAACACCTGCATCCATCTTCATGTCTCAGCTCAGATCTCACAGAAGTAGCTGACATTCGAGGAGGCTTGCTGTGTGCCCAACCCTGTGCCAGGACCTCTTTGAGCATTCCCCTCCTTTAAGCCTTGAAACAATCTCAAAAAGGCCACACAGTAACCTCTGTTTTGTTTATATCATTGTTATTTGGGGGTTTCCTGACACGTGCAGAGAAATATAACTGGTATCCACAGCTCACCTTCCACAGAAGCAGGAATTTCTGTCCACCTTGTGTCCCACAGGGATTCCCCGATATCCATACATCTTTTGGAGCTGGCAAGCATGAGGAAAAGGGCACAAATAAGAGAGGCATGACTAGACAGACTTCCAGGACAGGGATGAAGGTGAAGGGATAAGCCGGGAGATCCTTACCAGAAGGCAGTGTCTGGAAGGATAGAATGGGGCTCCACTCGCCCCACAGATCCTCTTCTTTCTCCATTCGGCAGCGGCCAGACACCTCGTAGCCAGTGGCTAGCTCCAGGCCCTGGATTTCAACAGGGTTCAGGGGTTTAGACTTCTGTTCTGGTTCCAGCTGTGGGAGAGACAGGAGAGAGCAATGAAGCCAAGGGCTGAAGCCACAGTACTTGACCTTATATGTCAGCGGGGTGGCCAACTGTCCTGCTTTGCCCAGGACTGAGGGGTTTCTCAGGATATGGGACTCTTGTTTTTAAAATTGGGACAATCCCAAGTAAAAAGAAACAAGCTGGCCACCCTCTGTGCCAGGTATAGTAGTAGGTGACAAATGCTATTATTATCCCCATTTTTCAGATGAGGAAAACTGAGGTCCAGAGAGAGGAAGTGACTTTCCCAAGGTCACAGAGCTGGTGAATGCTGGAGCTGAGATTCGTACCCAGGCACTCAGATTCCAAAGTCTGCATCTCAGCATTGCTCTGAATTGCATGGATAATCACAATGACAACAACTCTGCTCTATATTGTGGTGTTTTGCATCAAATGTTGTGGCTAAGACACTTGGTTATCCCCAATATCCATTCTCTCCTTCTTCCTTTGGAAATAGAACCTCTGAGTATCGGTTGGGAACATGGCTATTAAGAATAAAGACTACATTTCCCAGCCTCCTTTGCAGTGAGGTGAGACCATTTAACTATATTCTGACCAATGAGATATGAATGGAAATGATATATGCAATTTCCAGGGTGTGCTCTTAGAGTGCATGGGCAGGTCCCCCAACTCCTTCTGGGTTCCTATTACCCTGGGGTTGTGGTCCACTTTCTTTTTGTGTGAGCTTGGGAAAGTTGCCTAACTTCTCTGAGGTTCAGCTTCCCCAACTATAAAATAGAGATCTTTAAAGCATCTGCTATGTAGGGATGTCATGGGGGGGACTCATCAAAATAATCCATGGTGATTGTTTAGCCTAGAACCTGGTGCATAGCGGGTCTCAGAAATGTAAGCTGCTTTTATTAATTCTCTTTTTTCACACTGTACAGCCCCCTTCAGTGCTCATAGCCCATAGGTAAGGGGCTAGGCAATGGTTCAAGGCTGTAGGTTACTCTGGCATGGATCCACTATGAGAGGCCCACACAGAAGGGCCCGCCAAAAATCCGTTACCATGCCTGTATTAATTCTTTTTGAGTATTAGTACTGAGAACCAGGCCTTGATCCTCATCTGTAAAATGATGCTAAGTGCTGTTATTCTTATTTTAAGGTTAATGTAAGCTCTTTGAAGACTTTTATTCGTTCACAAAAATGTTACAGTAAGTTTATTATTTCTCAAAAATTCCAAATGGAGAGTTTCAGTCAAGGTAGCAGAACAGGTAAACGCTGTGCTCACCTCCTCTGACAACCACATCAAAATTACAACTAAACTACAGAACAAGCATATTGAGAATCACCTGTTTCTAGCTGAACAGAAGTTCTACAACTGAGGAAATAGAGAAGAGGCCACCTCGAGACTGGTAGGAGGGGCGGAGACACAAAATAGGGTGTTCCCACAACTACATGTGGTGGTGGAGGGATATCTCGGCTTTGGAGTTCCTCAGAGGAGCGAGGTGTCCCGGCCCCACACCAGGCTACCCAGCCCAGGGTTCCAGTGCCAGGAAGAGAAGTCCCCACAAGTTCTGGCTGTGAAAACCAGCAGAGTTTGTGGCCGAGTGAGACGGAGGGCGGCTGAAGTCACAGACATTCCTCTTAACCCACTTCTGTTTGCCCTAAGAATACTCGCTGGCAGCACTTGCAGCTACAGCATTTATCCCACGATAACTCACAGATTATAGTCCTAACCCTACCCCTAAAGTTTGCCATGAAATAGCTTGCTTTTATTATTATTTTCACATCCATAGTCTTTGAAAACAAATGACATAATTCTATTTATAGTGTTCTGTTTTTAGTAGTGGTATTTCGATTTACAAAGTACAGTAATACTCAATCACTGAAAATGTCAAATCCTAGAAAATGTAGCATTCCTACGTGTGATGTTAAATTAATGTTGGCAGCAAGCTGCACTTTTTTTTTTTTTCTAAACTGGAAAAGGTTTAAGGGGCCTGTGCTCAGACTTACTCATCGATACTTACTTGCTCTGAGCTTCAGGGCAGCAATTCTAAAAGCAACAAGATTGTCCTCAAAAAGCATGAGGAGAAACTGAATTGCCTGGCTTCAGGGTGAGGGCTGGAGAGGCAGCTCTCTCCCAGACAGAAGTGCTGGCAGAATCCACTGTCTCTTTGTTGAGCCTTCCCCTCACTCATGTGCAGATGCAGGTGGCTGCCATATATGAGTCTCCATCAGCCTGACTAACACCGTTCACCCCACCCTGGTGACTTCTGGAGACCCCTCCCCTCCCAACTTGTGGATCCACCCAAACCACTTCCAGTGGCGTTTCCATACAAAATGCCTGTTTGGGCTCATGCTGTGGACTCTCTTAAAATTTCTCAAAGGTTCACAAACTCCAAACAAGCAGCATCTGGCCTTGGCTTGACCCATACCTCTTGCTGAGCAGCCCAAGCCTGGCACTAGCATCAGCCAGTCTCAGTTCACAGCTTGGCCTCTCAAGGCTACTCTAAGCCCAGCCCAGGTGGTGGCCATATGTGGATTGCTTGGTGAATCTTGATTGCTTGATAGCCCCAGGAGGGCACAGGCTGCAGCTAAACTTGGCCCACTTTAGAGCCTCTACCAGGAGGACCCAGGGCCAGCATGCCCAGTGGCTGGCTTCTGACTGAGCCAGAGCACCACCTACGGCTGCACCAAGGATGACACACCTAAAGGGCAGACTTGGGAGGCACTAGAGCCCTACTAAAATGAATCATGCTCCATAGGGTCAGCTCCTCTCAGGCCAGTCCTCATGACCTCACAGCCAATAAGTCAATCCCTCCCATGGATGTGAAAACAGCAGCCAAGGCTCAACTATGACAGGAAAGCCATACAAGGGACACCCCTGGAGCACCTGGCTCAGGTAACTAGGGAAGACTGTGCTTTGGGCCCCACAGGACAGCTACTACATAAGGCCACTCTCCTAAGACCAGGAGACATAGCAGCACTGCCTAATATATAGAAACAAACACAGGGAGGCAGCCAAAATGGAGAGACAAAGAAACACATCCCAAATGGAAGAATAGAATAAAGTACCAGAAAAAGAACTAAACAAAATGGAGATAAGTAATCTACCTGATGCAGAGTTCAAAACACTGATTATAAGGCTGCTCAATGAACTTAGGGGAAAAGTAGATGAACTCAGTGAGAATTTTAACAAAGAGATAGAAAACATAAAAAAGAACCAGTCAGAAATGAAGAATACAATAACTAAAAGGAAGAATACATTAGAGGGACTCGACAGTAGATTAGATGAAGCAGAGGATCGAATCAACAATTTAGAAGATAAGGTAGCAGAAAACCGCCAATCGGAACAGCAATAAGAAAAAAGAATGCAAAAAAATGAGGCTAGTTTAAGGGGCCCCTAGGATGACTTCAAGCATACCAACAGCACATCATAGGGGTACCAGGAGGAGGAGAAAGTGAGCAAGGAATTGAAAACCTATTTGAAGAAATAATTATAGGAAACTTCCCTAACCTGGTGAAGGAATTAGACATACAAGTCCGGGAAGCCTAGAGAGTACCAAACAAGATGCATCCAAAGAGGTGCACATCAAGAAATAAAAGGTTAAAAATAAAGAGAGAATCTTAAAAGCAGCAAGAGAAAAGCAGTTAGTTACCTACAAGGGAGCACCCATAAGACTGGCAGCTGATTTCTCATAGTTATGCAGGACAGAAGAGCTTGGCACAAAATATTCGACGTGAAGAAAATCCAGGATCTACAATCAGGAATACATTATCCAGCAAAGGTGCAGGAAATATTCGGAGTGATGAAAAAGAAAGGACCTACAATCAAGATTACGCTACCCAGCAAAGTTATCATTTAGAATCAAAGGACATATAAAGAGCTTCTCAGACAAGAAAAAGCTAAAGGAGTTCATCAATACCAAACCGGTATTACAAGAAATATTAGAGAAACTTCTTTATGAAGAAGAATTTAAAAAAAAAAAGACAAAAAATGTGAATAATAAAATGGCAATAACTACATATCTATCAACAACTACTTTATTTATTTTTATTTTTTCCTTATTTATTTATTTTATATTTTATGCCTACGGCACCAGGTCTTCCTAGGTGGTCTCCCATCCAAGTACTAATCAGGCCTGACCCTGCTTAGCTTCCAAGATCAGACGGGATCAGGGTTGTTCAGGGTGGCATGGCTGATCAACAATTACTTTAAATGTAAGTGGACTAAATGCTCCAATCAAAAGACAGGGTATAAAAAATAAAAGATAGGGTAGCTGACAGGATAAGAAAACAAGACCCTTAAATATGCTGCCCACAAGAGACTCACTTCGGATTGAAAGACACACGCAGACTGTGCATGAGGGGATGGAAAAAGATATTTCATGAAAACGGAAATGAAGATGAAAAGGCTGAGGTGGCAATATTTATACCAGACAAAATAGACTTTAAAACAAAGACTAGAACAAGAGACCCAGTAATCCCAGTTTTGAGTATTTATCTGAAGAAATCCAAAACATTACTTCAAAGGGACATGTGAATCCCTATGTTCACTACAGCATTATTTACAAGAGCCAAGATATGGAGGCAACCTGGGTGTCTATCAGTGAATATGGATAAAGAAGAGGTGGTACACATATATAGTGGAATATTACTCAGCCATAAAAATAGAATGAAACCGTGCCAGCCACAACAACATGAATGGACCTAGAGGGTACTGCGCTAAGACAGACAGAGAAAGTCAAATGCCATATGATTTCACTTACATGTGGAATCTAAAGAACAAAATAAACAAAACAGAAACAAACTCATAGATACAGAGAACATTTTGATGTTTGCCCGATGGGAGGGAGTTGGCGGGTGGCTGGTGAAAAGGGGGAAGGGATTAAGAAGTATAAATTGATAGTTACAAAACAGTCATGGGAATGTAAAGTATAGCATAAGTCAAAATTGTAATAACTACGTATGGTGTTAGATATGTACTAGATTTATCAAGGTGATCACTTCATAAGTTATATAAATGCCTGATCACTACGTTGTACACCTGAAACTAATATAATATTGTATGGTAACTGTAATTGAAAAATTAAAAAATTATTTTAAAAAATTCCAAGTGGAATTTGGATTGGGACTGCATGGAATTTATAGATTTGGTGGGGACAATTTTTAGTTGAAGAATATGTATACAGACTTTTTATGTGGGATGAAGACAGACCCCAGGGACATGTGAGGAATGCACTCTGGGCTGGGTCTCTGATTGGGG